CCAGTAACTTTACTGGCTTACTCTTCCTTAAAATCTTGATGCCACATCACCACAATCTTTACTTCCTCAGTTAAATTACTGTTTATGTCACTATGAGTTAATATTCTGGGTGGAAAGCTTTAATGAAGTTTTTGTATAGCCACAGACAGAAATTTCTTTTATAGTAAGTCAGTCAGTCACAAACCAAAACTTCCCCCATAAGCAACAGATCCATTTTTATTGACAGGTTGAACTGGCTGTGCTGAATGACAAATCAATTGTTTGTGTGCTACATTCTGAATGAGGAGACAAAAAACCCCTAAGCAAAGGGAAACCGAAAAAAATACTGCAGGTCACCAGGCCTTAAACCACACCTGCCTAACCCTTTACTGCTTTTGCTTAAAGATGAAATTAGAAACCCTGATTTCCAACCCTGTGATCTACAGCCAACAACACACACACACAAATACCTGATGGATTCAGTATCAATGTGCACAGGAGCAATTCTCTCAAGAAGAAACTTTATCATTTCCAGGAAAGGATTTGTTGGTTGTTTTGGATTGCCCAACTTCTTTGTTATTTCCCTCTGCAATATAAGTTTCAATTAAATTTACAATCAATTCAGTTCCAAAAATATTCACATATTTTAAGGGCAATTCTTACCACACATCCTTCAGCCTGTTTGCAAGAACATGTTGGGCTAACAAGCATTTCTAACTGACTTCTTATTTTTTCATCATCTTCTAGAACTTGTGTGAACTTTTTCATGAAATCTTGAGCTTTCCCTGGATCAGGAAGGTTTCCTTTAAAGAAGTAAAAGGAATCACTATTTATTCTAAAAAGTGTCAGTACTGTAAATTACACAAGTTTGAAATGTCACATTAAGAAAGTTTCTATGTGTGTTCAAGTTAAAAAGAAGCGCGGGGGGACGGGACACCAAGAAACATCTTAGCATGTGCAGATATATCTATGAGGACGCCAATTTCTAAAACTTTGTGTACCCAACACACCTCCCGTGACTATTGCTTTCTTCTCCCTTCACAGTCATTTTCCAGTAAGTCTACTTGTTCCTGTTAATAATATTAACAGCTGAAGTTGATCTCAGAATGCAAAACCTATACTCCACAGAAAAATATACTTGGTAAATAGGTCACCAGATATGACAAGTGTGAAAAACACCAAAAGGGTATTTGCTAAATTACTCCTTCACTAAACATAAGCTCTACAACAGCTTGCAACACTTAAAAAAAAGCTTTAAAAATGCATTGTTTTAAACTAAATATTAATTTTATATTTACATTTTATATTCTAACAGGACAATTTATTGGCAAAGTGTTAGCATACTATTTCAGATGTTTTGTGGTTTTGGTACAGTAGGTGTTAAGTGAAAGTGGCACAGAAAATGGTATAGGACCACTGGATAGTTCAAAACAAGTTCTACTAAGTATTTGTTTGCTGTATTTATTTTTTTTGTTTTTTAAATGCAACCCAGAACTAAAAGAATCAGAAAAATTAAAAACTGATCAACTATTATATTATAAATAAAAGGAAAAAAGGATTTGGAACATGGCCAGCCAGGCAGCAAGATTCATTTTTTCCTGCACATTTTTTCAAAAATGTACATAGCCTTAAGTAGTTTCTTTTTTTTGCCAGAACAGTTTGCTTTTTTTAAAAAAGGTGATTTAAAAACAAAATTTCAGAACTGTAAAGCAAGTTTTTCTTCTTACTGGTTTTAATGTTATTGGCATGGTGGGCTGGGGAGAACAAGAAGCGTTGCTTTGGGGTTGGTGGTTTTCTCTTTGCCAAGAGTTACATAGGAGTTCTTCAGTTTCCAAAGTGCCTTCCTGCTACTGAAACCCAAATTCATTTGCATTCTCCCAATAAAACTTAAAATACCAACACCCCAAAGACAGATAAGTCAATAGATAGTTTAGTGGGTTAGTTAACACCAGTTAATATATATTCTATAATGGTAAAGCAGACACTAACACCCTAGATCGATCATCTATATTTTGAATTAGTCTACAACAGACAGTCAAAATGTCACGCAATAAACTTCATGACTGGATACTTTTTACAGTAAGGAAGTAATCCTGCTTACAGTGGTCTTAATTCTTTAAAGCATTTTGTTACAGAATGTTTATCATGATTTGTTATAAATTTTATCTGTTACAAAACTTGTTATAAGCTTATCTCAAATGATTTTTAAAGCAAGAAAGCAATATATTTCAACTGTAGTTCTTAGGGTAAATACTTCAACTGACTTACTTGTTATAACCATCACTTTTGAGAATATAGCTTTACTGCTGGCATCTGTCTGCAAGTCACAAAAGAAAAAAGTATTATGTAAAAGTTTTACATTATATATTTCCACTTGAGTATTGAGTGAGCAAAATTCCATAATGCATTATCAACAAGTCAGCACCTATCATTTTGCTAACGCATCAGTGTGTTAGAAATCAAAATCACCACTGCAAAGTTAATGCTAGATATTTACAGGAAGTAAACGGTAGATCATGCCTACATATGCTTATGTAAAACATTTTTATTACTTTTCAATCTACTTATATAGCTTATAAACAGCACAGATGAGTTATTTCTCTGTTTTCCATCTAAAGCTTCTTTGTTTTTAAATATAAAATGAACAGCAAGCATTAAATTCACTTTATTTTCTTGATCAGATATTGATTCTGAGTAGTCTCAGCAGTAGCTCCCACCTTACTGTAAAGAATGGAGCAAGTCAATAATAAGACAACTGCTACTCCTGTTCAGATGAACAGGGAAGGCAGAGGATAGCAGTGTAATTGTGAAAGTAATAATCAGGGACCATGACAACAACAACAAAAAAACCCACCCAAACCACACGTAACTGGATTTCAGGATATCTGTGAAGCTTAGATTTTAGTGAAACCATTGCTGATATAAAATCATCCAACAGCTCCTTACAAGCAAAATAAGTTAGTCAAAACAGACTCATCTCATTTATTTTCCTTGTCAGTAATTCTTCTGGTACAAGATTTCAAACTCCACATACAAAGTCCACCTTAAGAGTTAGTTCGGACAAAGAGTAAATGGAAGAGGAAAAAAAGAATAACTACAAATTTCACAGCCAGCTAAAACTACACAGTAAGTACATTTTCTTTATGAGAATATATTTCTAACAAGTAATGTTTCTACAACATATCACCTGCTACTGAAGGGAGACATACTAGTTTCCAAGACACTTTTCCCCCAACTTTTAGCTGTCATCCACAGTATCAACAGACTAGGAAGTTTTATGGAATTACACTGAAGTTTCAAATATTAAGGAATTAACAGCAGAAATGAGAAAGGGAATCCATAACTGCACAGTAAAGCTAACACCCTACTCATCTTCAGAAAAGTGTTCCAAGGTGAATGAAAGAAGAAAAAAAAAAAAAAAAAAAAAAAAAAGAGAGAAGGCTTTTACTGCAGTATAGTAAGTGTTGTTAAACAACTCTGAAATCTTCCTAAGTAAAATGGAAATTGGAGCCTGAAAGAAAACTCAAGCTAATAGCAATATTGTCAAGAGCGTATAGACTCATCAGCTTCCAAACCATAAAAGGAAGCTGCTCTTTTGCCAGTTGACTTCTGACAGATCAACCTTGGTGTCACAACTTATGAAGTCTACAAAACTTCATAAATGCATGTAAATAGTATCAGTTATGGTCTACAACTTACATATAATATACAATTATATTCTTGTGAGAAAACATTTAAATAAGACACAACCACACTTCATGAGTTTTCACTGAAAAGTATTTGAATTTAAATAGTGTTTAGCCACCACTGTTGCTAAAACTGTCTTGTATAGAACTCCCTTTATAACACACAAAATTAGTAGTAGACAAGACTCAAATTTACAAACAAGAAAATGTCAAATCAACTCGGAAGGCTCATCTTGGTAAGAAGAGTTCTTTTTCTTCTAAAGTATTTAACATGAGGCAAATTAACACCTACAGTGGACCTTTTCATCAGGTTCATGTCAGGAAAGAGCCACCTAGAGATAGTGTTGCAAGACACAAACATTTTCTTATAAAAGTCTTAGAATTATTATGGAGCAGATACGAAAAACTTCAGGACAGAGGTCACGGTCATGTGCAGGCGCATCTAATCTCTTTGCATTTTATTAATGCAATCTGCATACAGATCTCAAATAATGTTCAAATGAGCCATATCAGCTTTGGAGATAACAAAATTACAATTTATTACAATAACCTTGGCTAACACATGGAAGTGTCTATTTCCAGGAGGAATATCCTTCAACTTTTCAGAGTAAATTTCTGTTCTGCAGTTGACTAGGTGCTATGAAAGAACTCAAAATAATCCCATTTTCTAACATATTTGCACAGTTTTTTGTCACGCAAGAAAAAAGAAAGAGAAACTAATTAGCCAATTTGTGGAAAATCTGGCAATGTTTGAGAATAGTGGCAACCTCGGAAAGACTGGAGTATAACAAAAATACAGCATGAAATTAAGACAAGCAACATTTTTAGTAAACGTCCTCTCTATCTTGTGAGATGGACACCTGGCACATAATTCCAGCTATTAAGTATTTCTGCAGAACTTTCCATCACTTTTTAGTATTGGAAGAATGCTGTAATTTTGGAGGCTTTTGTCTGTCACAGCTGAACAGGCATGTTTGGACAAGAAATGAAAAAAACAGAAGCCAGGGTTTGGGGTAGCAAAGGGCTGCTGGGGTGACCTGTGCAGGAGGAGGTCAGGGACTTCTGTGCCCATCAAAACTACTTCCAGCTAGCTCTGCAAATGACACACTGACCCACCATCCACCAAAACTTCGACCAGAGGAGCCTCTGAGAAAACATATTTAAGAAAGGGTGGTAGCTGCTAAGGCAACAAGAGAGATGCCAGGGCAGGAAGGACAACAGCAGGAGAAGAGAGAGATGCCAAAGGAAAAGAAGAGACACCTGAGCAGAGGTAGAAGAGATGCCAGGGTAAGAGCTGCTGGAACAGGGATAGAGAGGAGGCACCGGAGAAAGTACAGCTCTAAAGGGACTGCGGCCAGTGGAGGAACCCATGCTGCAGCAGTGGGTGAGAAATGAGGAGCTGCAAAAGGAGAGGAACCACCATGCCCTGACCCCCACCTTCTGTGCTGCCATCGCCTCACCAAAGGGACTGAGCATAGCATGTGGCAAGGTGCCTGGGGACCGTGAACCAGAGAAAAGAGGTGTCCAAAGGGGAGCCAAAAAGTGTTTCTCTAAGTGTTTATTTGTTTGCTTTTATTTCTCAATACCATAATCAATAATTAAAAGTTTATGTTAATCGACAATAAACTAAGTAAAATTCCCAGACCCAAAACTGCTTTGTTGCTTATGACAGCATCTCAGATCACAAGCCCCTAAATTCTCTCATGCAGTCCTGTTACTCAAAAGAAAAGTGTAGAGAATTAGTACTTAATAGCAAAAGATGATGAAAGCCAGATGGACAAATGCAAACATGTCAACAGCATACGCTGTTTGGAATGTGATGCTTACACTGGCATTTATCAAAACCTACATGTTCATTTCCATGATATATTTTATCATTTACAATTGAGAAAGACCTTTTGTTACATCTCCCTGAAAACAAAAGGAAAAGTTGAAATTTGACTTTCAAATGAAATGCAGAAAATATTAAGAAACTAACTCAGGTTTTAAATGCATAAGTGTATTTAAATTACACCAAAGAATATAAAACAGTACATGAAAAATATTTTCAACACTGTCACCAAAACACAGTGAAGTATTGTTGTACTAGCAATTACTGCACTTAGAATTCAATACAACATTACAGCATGTTTTAAATGCACTAAGTCAAAATTATGAATTTCACTGCAATCAGGACTGAAAAAGTGAGGGATGCATTCTGATTTGATAAGTCTTCTTCTGCCTGCAAGACAGGAGCATTTCCAAGCAGATACAAGTGTGGTTGGATTATCTAATGTAAAAATGCCGTTACCCACTCTTCCTGTTCAGGTAATTTCAGCAAATGGATAATTCAGTCATAAAACTTCATTAAATTTACTGTGGAATAAGAGTATTTATGCATATTTAAAATAAAAGTGACACATACACATATATGAATGTGAGGAAGGCAACACTTTGTACTGTAGAGTATTTCTGTTAAAAAAGCACCAGATTAAACTTTTAGCATTGAAGTCAAATTCTAATCACATTCCAAATTATATCCAGAATTTCATCTCACCATTTTTTCCCCTAAAACATGAGTATGCACATACATATAACAAACAAAAACCGAATTTTACTTTATGAGAATATCCTAAATGCTGAATGTTTATTTTTTCCTTCAGAGCAAATTAAAAAAAAAAAAAAAAAAAAAAAAAAAAAAAAGGACTTCAATTGTAGTCCAGTATCTCCAATACAACATTTAAGAAGTTTCCGAACTTTCCAAAAAGGGAACAGAAACAAGTGACCTGTTGGGATAAAAATATCCCGACTTCTTGAATGCTACTAATCATACGTAAAATAAGAAGTGAGGGTGTATAAGTACTTTTTCTTAATTACTCAATTTGGCAGTCAAAAAAAATATGCTGGGTTTTCCCTCTTTCAAGAGCCAGAACAATCCTGGCAAGATGTAACACTGGGAGCAAATATTTTAGTATCAAACGACTGGCAAAATCTTTTTAAAATTTCTAACACACCCCTACCTCTTCTCTTTTACTGACAAAATGTATACACATTTCCTACTGCAAGTGTAGTCTAATGGAATATCAGTTAACTTTCACAGTATTTTCTGTCATTAAAAATAAAGCTTGAGAATTAAAAAATAGCTTATGAAGTAAAACTGCATATTCACTATGGGATAAAGATAAATTGAACTCACTTTGGGTTGTTTTATTAGGTCAACTAAATCCTTTACTTGATGTCGTAGCAGATTTTGACATTTCCACATTTCATTCAATGCTCTAAAAGAATAAAAAAAGAGCTGTCAAAGTCATCTAATCAATAAATAACACAACTGTCCAATAAGAGCCTTTAAATTCTTGTCAGCTTCCGACTGAGGAATGTGCTTATCACCTAAAATTTCATTGCTGTGTAGCAAAGGCTAAATGGTTCCTAATGGCATGGTATGGAAAATTTAACTGGTCAAATTAGACTGGAACAAAGTGTGATTTTGAAACAAGTTTCATTTCAGATGCTTAACTACACTGCCTTTAAAAGAAGTAGGAAGTAAATGATGTCTGACCCATAAAGAACTCATTTGCACAAGCCTGAAATTACTCTTCTAAAAACATTCCAAGAAGCACGCTAAAGCAGATGTTTAAGATTTTTATCATCAAAACAATGTTTTTCTTGCATATAGAAAGCAGCTACTAGATGAATAAATCGTGAAAAGTGGACACGATTAGACTTGTAACAGAGGTGTTAGAGATATCTGACAAAATTGAAAATTAGCACACTTCCCAGAAAAAATAAGCCATATGAAAAAAGAAATCACAGCTTAATTTAAAAAACTTCCAGAATCCACAAGTAAAAAGTCAGTTCTATATAACTGAAGATACTTTGTCTTCAGAATGAGTACTACTGCATATGAAAACTAGAATTCAAAAGTTATTTGTTGCCTGTAATTATAAATACTGAAAAGAAGCAATTCTGCATTTTTGTTTAGCCTATACTAAAAATTACTAGAACTGTAACTTTTTATTTTTAATATATTGTTCTTAATTTTACTTCGTTACAGCTGTAATATCTTTAGGCAGGTAATACAAGAAATACAAGGGATTCAAACATCAGTTTCTGTAGTATTTGAAAGCTTTTTTAAGCCATTCTTTTATATACAAAGCTTTTCCAGGTCTCCCACATGAGAAAAAGCTGTATTCAATTTTCAAGTGACTGTGTATAACTAAATTAAAAAAAAAAAAGTAAAACTAACTAAATTCAGCCAAACTGAACATTACAGCAGCAAAACTGTTACTAGTCAAATTCATGAGCATCTACCCATTTTAAGCTGGAGAAGGCACGGGACAATTATAAGTAAAATGCATACTGAAGGATGGAAGACAAACAAGCAATGCCTTCCCGCTCTTAAGTCATCCTCACTGCTAAAACAATGAGTATATTAATTGACAAGTTGTCAGATAAAATCTAGGGCTAGTCAACACTACTAGCTATGCTATCTCTTTTCAGACATAGAAGGACTGACATACACTCAAGCTTCTTGCTAGATCTTTGACAGTACTTTTTTTTTTTGCTGTTTATGGTTAAAAGGTACCACATTGTTACAAAACACCCTATTAGTTCCTATTTGTCATGTCTGCCTGCGCGCCCCCTCACCCCAATCCCACTTGAAAAATACATACTATGGCTACATTCTATTTTCTGATAGTTTTCAAACTACTTTTGTCCACTGGCTTAGGCTAGTCATAACAATTTAGAACTAATTTACAGTAATAATTGTATTAAAGATTATTTTGCAAGAAGTCAAAATAGCACGTACTTCACAGCATTTGAATCCAGTGTTGCATAAAGGTAATATAAACATTTCATTCGTTCATTTGTTTCCAAGTTGTGAGGGACCATGTACTGAGCAAAGATGCGTTCAACAAGTAATCTGAAAGACAGGATTAAGAAACTTAAACTGTAAAGCAAGAAAGTGGTCTTGAATTGCTAAAATGTTCACTCAAAGATTCCCAGACCTATATAGAGATCAGTTATTGCATATAACGACGGGTGTTATTCAAAACTCTAAAGGTCAAGTTCCTTAACATTCAATATAACTCAGCATAAAATAAACAAAAATATATCATTGCAGAAGATTTTCGTGGTTTAGCCCCAGCCAGCAACTAAGCACCACGCAGCCACTCGTTCACTCCCCCTACCCTGGTGGGATGGGGGAGAGAATCAGAGGAGTAAGAGTGAGAAACACTCCTGGGTTGAGATAAGAACAGTTTAATAATTGAAATAAAGTAAAACAGTAATTATAATAACAACAATATAATAATGATAATAATAATGATATATGAAGCAAGTGATGCACAATACAATTGCTCACCACACACTGACCGACACCCAGACAGTTCCCGAGCAGCGATCGCAGCCTCCCGGCCAACCCCCCCCAGTTTATATACTGAGCATGACATCATATGGTATGGAATAGCCCTTTGGTCAGTTTGGATCAACTATTCTGGCTGGGCCCCCTCCCACTTTCTTGTGCACCTGGCAGAGCATGGGAAGCTGAAAAGTCCTTGACTAGCATAAGCAGTACTTAGCAACAACTAAAACATCAGTGTGTTATCAACATTCTTCTCATCCTAAATCCAAAACACAGCACTATGCCTGCTACTAGGAAGAAAAGTAACTCTATCCCAGCCGAAACCAGGACAAAGATGTAATGTTAAGATTAGCCATAGGACATTTAATAGATGACATTATCAAAATCAGATATATTAATCCAAATAGGAACCAAACGTTTTTAGAGAAGGATGTCTCAATCATCAGCCCGAAGACATATTATCAGTCAATTTCATTACAGGTCAGTATTGGGGTAAATACATGAATTGACCCAAATTAATGGGCCTAAAATAAAAAACCAGAAGTGTCATGTTTATTATATCACATGTTATCATGAAGTCCAGAAGAATTCAGATACTAGTCAGAAGGAGCTGACTTCCCTCCACTCCTCCCTGGCCCCTTCCCCAAGGGCTGAGTTTATCCCATTTCTTTTGCTTCCACAATAAAAATGGAGGTACATTCACATGGAAAGTATTAACAACTTCTGCTATAACATGGAAGTTCCTTATTTGGAAACAGGAGGAGAGAAAGGTTTGGGTCTGCCACTTACCTAGGAAAGACTGAGAAGAAAAAACAAAAGGAAAACCAAATCCATGTTGCAATCTCAAATACCAAGGCGGCCCACAACTCTTGCAAATTGAGGTCAATGTTAACAGAATGGAGTAAATAGGTAAAAAAACCCCAATAATGTATGCTTAGGCTAGAAATGGGAAGAAAATCCTTATGCACAATTGGAGGGGGTGGTCAAAACCAAAACCCAGCTAGTTTAAAAAGATCTCAAAGTTTAAGAAAAATGTGAGTAGGTGAGACTGGATCTCAAAATCCAGACAGTTCTGTCCACTTCCGTGGTACCATGAAATAATTGCTTATTTTGGAGATGACTAAGGCCACAAGTTTTTGAAAGGATTTGTACAGGTTTGCAATGCCACTTGTATCTGATCATGCTGTGAAGACCAAAGGCTCATTTCCAAAGCCAACAAGACCACCCTGATTAGTCAAGGTGGACTAGTTCCCAAACTAGTTCCCCATGTGCAGCCATCTATTTTTCAATACGAACAACCATATACAAGTCTATAGGTGGTATGACAGAGGCACCACTTTCACCACAAATCCAGGACAAGGCTCTAATTCATGACTATTATTATACAGAAAAACTAACCTTCTGCAGAGTGAGATGCCTTAACTGTTGTCACTACACGTACTAGACTTATCTTTAAAGCATACAGGAACAACATGCAAACCTAAAGCAAGCTTGTTAAAGCAATTTTACTTACTGATTTTTAACATAAAAATTAGCAAGCTACTGAAATATAAACAAAAGCCTCCTTTACTGAAACAGTGGTGAAGTACAGTAAAAAATTTTTAAATATTCCAACCTATCTCCCCCTTTAGAATCCCTTTTGGCTTTTTTTTTTTTTTTAAAAAAAAAAGCAGAAGAAAACAACACAGGACAACATTTGGCTGCAGCTGTATAAGATTACACACTGGATCAAAACATACAGGATTATCAAGTCTCCTCCTTCTTGTCAGCACTTAAGCACAAAGGAAAAACAAATCTGTATAGTAAGTTACCACACTTCTCCACAGAATCGCCTAGCTTTCACGACTGACTTACCGGTCATCAATACTGTTTTGATAATATATATGCAGAAGTTTATCTTTGATCCATGATATTTGTTTTGCAGCTTCTTTTCCTGCTTCTGATTGTAATGAGTATTTCTTGTATATCTGTGCAAGTCCCATCATAGCTTCCTTCCGCACTCTCCACTTGAGAAAAAGAAGTAGTACCCGGATTAGTGTTCAAAACTCAAAAGTGAAAAGACTATAGAATCTCCTGGTAGGTATTTCCTATTCTACACCAAAATAAAATAGTTTAATTTACAAAAAAAAGTTAAATTGAGTTCTAAGTGCTATAACTTTCTCGTTAGTACGTACATTGCATTGTGTCTATTATACTAAGCCTTTCAACATCGGTAACTGCTATGCAAGTATGCCTCTTGAATTTAGAATTGTTACATATTTAAGCCAACACCCTTTCTCACAGATCTATACTGAATACTTGCAATTGTACTATGGGTGCAACAGGGAAAAGTGTGTCACCAAATGAAGAAAAAAAAAAAATCATGTGATAATGTTAATTTTAAAACTTTACCATCAACAGCCGTGTTTACCATGCTTTAATGTAAGTAGCAAACCTCAAATTTTACCAAATAATGAAACATAGCTAAACTAAATTTCAAGACTATTCAAACTTGAAATTTACTACACTGATTTGCAGTCTTCTGATGATCTAATTAAAAGCAGGTAAACTAGCTACCTCTGACAGTGGAATATTTTCCATCAGTAATCTACAACACATTTTGAAACCTGCTTGCAAAACCTCTTCTGAAAAATGTCAGAATGTTTTACACGGGTCTCATTTTACTTAATTTTACTAAAACTAGACAACTGGAGCAACACTGTTGTCCTTCAGCCTATTTTTTTTTTTTAATCATACTATCTTAAACAAAAATACAGCACAATGAAAAATGTGGCATTCTAGTCAGGAGCAAAAGATGCCTCATTAAATAGACTGCTTCAAAATTTTTTTGCATTATATTGGCTTTCATTACTCAAATTAGTTCAGCATTTTTTAGAAGCATCGCTTTTTAAAAAGCTGAATTAGAGCCTAGAAATATAACACACAGCCATTATTAGTACTAATTATGTCTTACCCGTTTGTCCAGTGTTCGTTCTCTGACAAAATTAAGCAGGTGATCATTGACAAGCAAAAGATCTTTTTTAGCAGCAGTAACTATGGATACTATAACATCATGCCTTATGGCCTCTTCAGGATCATGTGACCTTACTTTGAGATATTCTGGAAAAAACAGAATAAGTATTTCATTATAAGTATACAACTTCAACTACTTTTCTTTCTCTAGACAGTACTCAGCTGACAGAAGCAGAAAACATGATTTTCTACTGTTTTTGAGCATCAACAGTAAGAAACCGGTACTTTTCTCTAAGATTAACTGGAATGTCAGTAAAACTTTTTATTTGCTTAGAATATCAAATATTTATATTTCTAGCATTATGAAAATAAGAGTTATGTGGCTACATTTTTATTTTTATTATTTCTTATAACAGTTAGGCTATGCCTACATTAGCAACTAGTATAGCCCAACAGAATTGGATCTGTAGAGCAGAACAGACAGTGCTGAGAACTTGACATCCACACTATATACATTTTAAAATCTTACTTCAGGCTAGAGGCTACTCTCTTCCTGCAGACTCCATCCCCTTTGGCTGCTGGAGCACATTAGTTGCACTCCTAGCCACAGCTTCTGTATTATCCACAAGGAATCTAGTTCACATTCTCCAGGAATACTCCACAGTGTGAGCCATGCAAGCATTGTAAGCAGGGACAAATCAAGAGACTTACTTCAAAAGCATGCTGTTTGACCAAGCTATAATGCTTATTTAGGCACATCCTAGTTTATTCAACTTAAAACCATTTTTCTAGATTATTTTGGCCCATTGCTAGTTACTTGGTAGTATCAATAATCTTACAGTATCATCATTTTAAGATTTCTGCTTATAAGCATCAAACAGGTTAGCCACCTGTCATTTTAGAAAGCTGGCAAAGAATAAAATGGCAAAGTTCATTTATCTTTTTAGAATTATGTATTTTAGGTTAATTTAGAAGCACAAACAGGTAGGAAAATGCATACAAAAGTTAAGATCACTGTACACAGCATACATCAGTGAAACATTGAGAACATTAAGAAACATCGAAAATTCAAAAAGTTTACCCTAAATGAAATAACCAGAGGTTACTGTGCTCTTATTACTGTTCAATGACCAGTGAAAATTGTCAAGCCTCATCTGAAATATTGGCCATTAACATTTCTTGTAATCAGCACAAGTGTTGAAAGGGCACATCAAGAAATAAAGCTTTGCACTTACGGAGGCTATGAAATTTGAAATCCAAACGAGACTTTTTTAAAAACCAGTTTTGTTCCACGGGAAAACAAAATAAACTAAAACAAATGAGGAACAATGCCACTGCACACAACAATTCTGGTCTCAAACACCAGTGAGTCAGAGAAATTTTTCAACAATTTGACTTTGATAAGCGCTGTGGGGAGGGAGAGGAGGGACAAGCAAAATTACATTTCCCAGAGGATACCATTAGAGGGGGCACAAAGTCTTTCTGCAGTGTAAAGGAAAAAAAACCCCACCCTTGAAAACACAATTCTTATAAAAGAGGAAATATCTTTATCATTCCATTAAGAAAAGGTCCAGAAACTTTTTTTTTTTTAAAGCTGGCTTAACAATACCAATAACTACAGGATGACTCTAGCCTGCCTGTATTTGTGCCTAACTTGACAAATGCTCAGCAAGGAGGAGAGCAATCCCATGCACTTAACAGCCCTTTAAATTCCCTCCTTAGAGCAAATGGGCAAAGATATTACCTCCAAAGAATTACAGGAAGTAGGATTTTATTGATCAGGGGAAGATACAGTCTCCATATACACTTTGGGGGGAATAAAAAACAACAAACCCACCTATTCTCTTTAATTACACTTTTTTCATTAAAACATCAGGAGCAACAAATACTAAACACTTCTGTCTATGCCAGTTGCCTTCTTCCTACAGAGATCTTGAATTACACGCTGTGTTTGATCTGAAGGAGCAGGAACCAACGGCTGTGGTCACAGTTACAAGGACTGTTTTCATGGTTTAGATGGTGAACGCATAACATTTACACATTTCAGCTTTGTGGAACTCAAGTCTCCAGTCTGCACCCTAATTAATAAATGCCATGAGCATTAGGTTAGCCAGGCTGTCTTTGCCTGATCCCATGGTACTTAATTTCAACAGCAGTTAGGAATGCAACTACTCTAAGACAGGGAGAGTGATCTCTTTCGTTAAGGCATTCTTTATGTACAGTCCCCTCAGCCTGACAAGCAGCACTGAAGGCAGGGACTCTGACTTAGCAGTCCAACCTCAATTATGTCCTCCCCAACATCTGACAACGTTACTTAGGATTACAACTAACCTTCCTGCCTTTTCCAGGAGACTTAAAATTGTATTTTAATGTTATAATAAATCTGGTACCTGTTAAGTCTTTTGCTAGGTCAGGATGGTTCATAAGGCAGTGACTTGCAAATTTCACACATTCAAGACGAATAGGTACATGGATATCATTAAACCTATTTAGAAACAAGACAATGCATTACAACAACAACAACAAAAACATGACTTCTACCAAAGCAATTAGTTTATTCCTACACAATCTCCAATACCTCTGAAAATATTTTTATGCTTCCCATGCACAGTTACATGTATAAAGTATCTCTGATTTCACAGTATTAAGTAGACTGTCTTCAGCTTAAGAAAAAAATCCTGTACTCATTTATTAATTCATGTTCTGAACATGAAGAGAAATATCTTCTCCTGGTACACATGAAAAACTCCCAGGCACACGACAACTATTAGAAAGTTGTCTGACATATTTTAACTATCTTTTCTGTAACGCTCCACATATTTAACCATGAACCATGTATCAGCAGCTAAAAGTTTTGTAAGACTGAGATATTCGTCCCCTCTTTAAGCTGTATGATAGACAGCAAACAAAAGGGCATCTAGCCTAGTACAAATTTCTTCTGAGATGGATCACTTCAACTTCTGTAAGATTTCCTTTCTAAAGACTGAATTAGGTTTGATGCTTGAAAGCTAGTATTTTCTCGTGTTTAATTTTGATATAAGTAATTTTATTATAAAACTATTGACGTAATGAGAGTTAAAAACAACTCTTTTGAAAAGTTAAATGCATTTTCAAGCTATCCTCAAAATGCTTAGTTTTAAACAAATTAAAAATCAAATTTTAGAACATTATTGCTGTTGAAATGCATATTTATCAAATAATGAGGTTTTAAGGAATAACTGTTTTAGTAAAAATCAGGTAGGTTTTCAAAAATCAAGAGATTTTAAGAATGGTTCCTTTAATAACACAACTATTATAACTTAGTTAAAATCCTTGAAAGAAGTAAATATATATATATGTGATTCATAACTAGTTGAAAACAGTAATTATGAACAACAGATTGCCCATATTCACATTGCTTAACTTCATAACACAATGAAGCATTTTTCTCTGTGCCCAATTAGAACTGGTATTTTTTTGATGACATGCAATGTTTTAAATAGTTCTATACTTTCAAGCAAAAGGTCTTCCCTCAATTAAGTTTCCTGTAGTTTTAAAAGTCGCATTTCTTTGAGGACTTTGGCTTTGATACAATTCAATGCTAAACTACGAACTACTGCATTTGTAATAACTTACAGCATTTATCCTCATTTACTCAAATCAAAAACATTTTCATCATAGTAGCCATACTTAAGTTTCTCCTGACTACAAGCTCCAGCTACCTTTTCTATCTCAAACTGGCAGAATATCTCAAAAACAAAAGAGTAAGTGTGTTTGCAGCATTGTACATACTACATACCTCTTCTAAGGCACTCCTACTGTTAAAAAAAATTGAAACCAGGATACAAACGCTGTAAATAGAAGCCTCAAAACCAGTTCTAATATCACCTGATACTGCAAATGACATTTGACACTGTTTTAGAATTAATCCATCATTGAATAGTTTCACTTGTGAAGAAGTTAAAATAAACTATTCCTTTTTCTTGACAATGGCAATAAAGACAGTTGCAAAAAAATGAACTAAAAAGGGATGATTTGTAATTGTTCACTCTGCAGAATCACAGATGCAGAAGATGCATGTAAAATAATCTCTTTAGCATTATCTGTCAGATTTCAAATAAAGCAGCAGGAGGGAACTCACACTTAGCTGTGTCACTTCAAATAAAAAAAAAAAAAGTTGAATTATACTTCATTGAATGTTCTTCCCCTCCTAGAAAGGGAACTAAACCAGCATATACCTCCCCAGGTAGCACTGCCAAAGTGGTTTGTTTTGAGATGCCAACTCTGAATCCTTCGCCCCAAACATTTTTGCTAGAAGTTTTACAACCTGCAGACGTTCTTCATTGTCATTGCTCTGGAAAATGAACACATTTTTTTTTTTTAAAGAAAAAAATTGAAAAAAACACAAAACCACCTCACACAAACCACAAAACATAGAGTTCTGTTTTGTACAGCTTTTACACAAATACACTTATGTACCTCCAGAAATATCATAATACAGATTAATAGACTTCTCTTGTATACAAATGTGTATCTCAAGACAAAAAACCCTTCCCTGTTATTGGGATAAGACAAAATAATAAAGGCAGTGAAAACAAAAAAAAAAATTGTAGAGACAAAAAACAGTGTGAATAAAGCCTAGTGAAAAATACACAGATACATACATCTTTCTAGCCCTCATTTACAGGTTACTGATCCTGTTAGGAAATCTGGTATGTGCCTGTACAAGCTTACACAAATTCAAGCACAACACAAAACCCACAAAACTCATTCTACATTTGTCTGCACATAAAGGTTTACAGTTTGCTTGCTTAGGAAGACAAACATCCCCCACTTTCTCCTCCTTTCCCTGAGCTTTTATTGCTGAGCATGTGTCCCCTCTTAACCCCCTGTCCTGCCTCAGCCTACTTGTGGTGGGGGGAGGAAGCCTTTACCTATACAAGCACTGTTCAGCAATAGCCAAAACAGTGTGCCATCAACACTGTTTTAGCTACAAATATGAAGTATGGTACCATATGGGCTGCTACAAAGAAAATCAACTCCATCCCAGCCAGACCCAAAAGGATAACTAGTTTGTCCACTTCTGTTTGGTACATGACATGGCACAGAACAGCATTTCAATTCTCTTCAAACATACTTAAAAGATTCTTGGGATAGACGGGACAGAAAAAGCAACTGAGGGAGTAAAGCACACAGAAGCTGCACATTTCAGAGAATGCCAGTTACTGCCAGCAACCTTTCATTCTTCGTCCAAGTCAACATGTACGATTCTCACAGCAGTTAAAATTACCTGGCATCGTGACCAAACTGGATGGTCATTGGTTGTACCAAAATGGCAAGGTGCTCGAACACTAGGTGGCCACACTATTTAGATCCACAACAGTAAATATGCACAACAGTGCTACTGTAGCACCTAAGCTCCCTCACAAGTTCCATACTAACAGTTTCATAACCCTCCATACATGGTCAAAAATTTATCTGGTCACTGACAGGAAAGCCCTTGGATTTTTCCCACACTCAAAGAGACAGTCTAGAACTTCCATAAGACCCTAACACCATGAAGATAAATCAAGAGGCTTCCTGCCACAAAGAGCGCAAAAGTTCAGGGAGATGGAGAGCAACAGATTTGGATCCTGTCAAGTAATGAGTCACAACGCACAGACATTTGTTCACATCCTCAAACTCCTTTCAGCCACAGAGGCTGAGAACAAGGCAGCCCAATCAGCTGGAAAGCAGTGGAGATTGCCCAGTGAAGCTCACCTGGTTGTTGGGAGAAAACCACCACCACTTCATTTTCAAAACGTACACAAAATCTTTAGAAGAAAAGAAATAAGACACTACATGGAAATCCTGGGTCATGTACAGAATATACAACTAGTGGAAAAGTTCCTGATACCAGGTCTTGTGGTTTAACCCAGCAGGCATCTGAACACCACACAGCCATTCGCTCACTCTCCCCCTCCCCAGCAGAATGGAGAAGAGAATCAGAAAAAAAAAAAAAAGTAAAATTCGTGGGTTGAGATAAAGACAGTTTAATAGGACAGAAAAGGAAGGGAAAATAAAATAATAATAGTAATTAAAAAACAATACAAAACAAGTGATACACAATGCAATTGCTCACCACACACTGGCTGATGCCCAGACAGTTCCCAAGCAGCGATCGCAGCCTCCCGGCCAACTCCCCCCAGTTTATATACTGAGCATAACATCATATGGTATGGAATAGCCCTTTGGGCAGTTTGGATCAACTATTCTGGCTGTGCCCCCTCCCAGTTTCTTGTGCACCTGGCAGAGCATGGGAAGCTGGAAAGTCCTTGACTAGTGTAAGCACTACTTAGCAACAACTAAAACATCAGTGTGTTATCAACATTATTCTCATACTAAATCCAAAACACGGCACTGTGCCAGCTACTAGGAAGAAAGTTAACTCTATCCCAGCTGAAACCAGGACACAAGGAAGAATCGATTTAGAGAAACAGGATCACTAGCAGAGAAACACCCAGCACGCATACTGTGAGACTGAGTACCCTAAGGTCAGGATGAAACACATGACCAATCCCTGAAAGAACAAGTCAAGAATACAGAGAGCTTTCAGCATCCTCCAAGAACAGGAGAAGGTCCTCAAAATTGGAACAATCACCATCAAGAGCATTTCCCCCACCACCACCCCCTTCACTCTAACTAGAATTTATGGAAGGGAGCATGGTAGCCCTTGCAATCATGAAACAGGAGTACGCCCAACAGACTTCACGGATTTCAGTCTGTCCTCAGACAGAACTCGGTAGTTCTCATAAACCCAGGCACAATACAGTCACCATAAGCCAAGCACATTCATGGGAGAAGCCTAGACATGACCTCCCACTAAGCAAAGTTACATTTCTTTGTAGATGATTAGTTGGAGTGGTCAGTAGTTGGAGGCATTGGGCATATGAACTGCCCACAATGGGATACTGTTGAAACTTCAACAGCTTCCAAAGCAGAACTGAGATCCAGTCCTGCAACACTGTGTGAATTTTTAATGATTGCAGAGTTGTCCATCCCCACAGCCACACAATCCTCAGAGAGCCCTTCTTAAGCAAGAAGGGGTATGTCCACCAGCATTACTGAAGCATGTATTCTAAGACAGAAGACAGTTTTTCAAATATGGCCACTATAACACCATGCACTGTATTCCATCTACGAATCTTTGCATTAGAAACAATTTGTTCAGTAGCTTGACCCAGTGAATTACCAGACCTTGTTTTCCAAATGCTAAGTGGAACCAAAATGTGCCATTTACTCCATACCAGAGATGTACTCTTTAAGGTCTCTCTTATGCAGAACTGATCAAGAGGACAGCACCAAAATGGCGTACAGATAATCTCCACTGGCATCCAGTAATGGTGGTTATGTCTCTGTCACAAGACCAGCAGAGACCATCAACTTAGATGAGCCAGACACAAGAAAAGAATCCAGAAGACTTGATAGCACAGCATATCCACAAACAGCACCACAATTCTGCATTCTCCCATAGAAATATGCACCAGTTCTGCAGCATGCCCTTCCTGAAAAGCCATCTACATGTCTAGACAATTCAGCCCACTTTCCTCCCTTGTCCAAAAGGCAACAGATTATCTAAAGATGACCTGTCACCAGAAGACTTATAGAACAACTCTATCTACTCCATCCAAAGATGTTACTGGCTGATAATGCATTGTGGTGGTAGCATCAGCCCACTAAGCTCCAGAAATTAACAACGTTAAGAGCAAGGTGGCTGGTGTGACACTTAAGACTTTGGCACCTACTGTCCTTGGGATAAAGTATAGTGAAAAAACCCCCAGCAGTGCCAAACACAAGAAAATGGCGGGATCATAGGAGGAATGTGTGCACAGAACCAAAGAGAGGCAGGCAGCACAGAAATATTTCTCCATCAGCATCAATATCTTTTTATATTCAGCTTAGTATTTCAAGTTGCTATAGAGGACATCATGGTGGTGGTGTACATCTCAGTCTCAGCAATGTTATTACAAATTAATTTATGTGAATGACCATTTTGCTTTGGGTGGAGGAAGCAAAGCTGGAAAGGCTCCCCTCAGTGTAAATGGACCCAGTCCCATTCACCAAACAAGATTCGTCAGTAATCACATGGCTCCATGACCAGAACATCTGTCTCCTTGATGCATCTCAAGTAAAAAGGAAGGAAGGAAGGATGAATGAATGAACTAAACTATAATTCTTTTTAAGTGCTCAGCAACAGGAAGCAAAATATATATACGATGGAGTTTCTCAAGGACAATCCTTCAAAGTCTTTAACCATATTATCATTCTTCCAGGAACTCCCATCTTCTCTTGTTTGGCTAATAATTTCCCACTTCATTGCCAAATGACACCCCAAAAAAGTGAAGACATTGTTTTCAGGTTGTCAATAATCAAGTTCTATACAATTTGCCTTTGGAAATCCCAAGTCACATCATTCTTTTCTTAGATTAGAATATTTCAGTTGGAAGGGACCTACAATCATCATCTAGTCCAACTGCCTCACCACTTCAGAGCTCACCAAAAGTTAAAGCATGTTATTAAGGGCATTGTCCAAATGCCTCTTAAACACTGACATGCATGGGGCATCAACCACCTCCCTAGGAAGCCTGTTCCAGTGTTTCACCACCCTCCTGGTAAAGAAATGCTTCCTAATATCCAGTCTAAACCTCTCCTGGTGCAGCTTTGAACCATTCCTATGCACCCTATCACTGGATACCAGGGAGAAGAGATCAGCACCTCCCTCTCCACTTCCCCTTCTAAGGAAGCTGTAGAGAACAATGAGGTCACTTCTCAGCCTCCTTTTCTCCAAACTAGACTGTCATGGTTTAATAGGAAGAAAATTAACTCTATCCCAGCCAAAACCAGGACTAGACAAACCCAAAGTCCTTAGCTGTTCCTCACAAGACATGCCTTCCAGCCCTGTCACCAGCTTTGTTGCCCTCCTCTGTATGCATCCAAGGACCTTCACATCCTTCTTAAATTATGAGGCCCAGAACTACACACAGTACTCAAGGTGACGCTGCACCAGTGCTGAACACAGTGCAATGATCACCTCCTTTGACCAGCTGGTTATACTGTGTTTGATGCACCCCAGAATGCAGTTTGCCGTCTTGGCTGCCAGGGCACACTGCTGACTCATATTGAGCCTGCTGCTGACCAGCACCCCCCGATCCCTTTCTGCAGGGTGGCTCCCCAGCCACTCCTCTCCCAATTTATACTTGTGCCCTGCATTACTCCATCCCAGGTGCAGAATATGGTATTTAGACTTACTAGATTTCATCCCAGTGAATAGGATGCCTGCCCAATGCTCCAATGTACCTAGATCTCTCTGCAAGGCCTCTTATCCCTCAAGAGAGTAACAGCACCTCCCAGTTTGGCATCATCAGCAAACTTGCTAATGGTGCATTCCACTTCTGCATCCAGATTGTTGATAAATATATTGAACAGAACTGGGCCTAGAATTGATCCCTGAGGAACACCACTGGTGACTGCTCACCAGCCAGATGTAGCCCCATTCGCTACAACTCTTTGAGCCCTGCCCTTCAGCCAGCTCTTCACCCAGCTCTAACCCAGGAGTGTTTCTCACTCTTACTCCTCCGATTCTCTCCCCCATCCCACCAGGGCAGGGCGAGTGAGCAAGCGGCTGCGTGGTACTTAGTTGCTGGCTGGGGCTAAACCACGACAACACCGTGAACCCGCTCACCGCACAGTTGGACAACTTGTCCAGAGGGATATTGTGAGGGACAGTATCAAAAGCCTTACTAAAATCTAGAAAAACTACATCCACCACCTTCCCTTCATCCACTAGGCAGGTGACCTTACCATAGAAGGATATCAAATTAGTTAAACAGGACTTTCCCTTTGTGAACCCATGTTGACTGTGCCTGATGAGTGCGTTACTGTTTAAATGCCTTTCAATAGTACCCAACATGATCTTCTCCACAATTTTTCCAGGAACTGAGGTTAGACTAACAGGTCTGTAGTTCCCTGGGTCTTCCCTTATGCCACTTCTGTACATTGGAATAACACTGGCTAGCTTCCAGTCAGCAGGGACCTCTCCAGACTCCCAAGACCTTTGACAGATAATCAAGAGGGTTGCTGCCATAACATCCACTAGCTCCCTTAGTACTCTGGGATGAATCCAATCAGGCCCCATGACCTGTGGAACACTCAGCTGATACAGCTGGTCCCTTACAATTTCAGTGGCCACAAATGGAAAGTCAGTGTTCCTGCACTCGTGGTCCTCCAACTCAGGGGACAGGGCAGCCCAAGATCTGTCAGTATTATTAAAGGCTGGGGAGGGGGGGAGGGGGGGGGAGCAAGCAGCAAGCATTGAATGCCTCCACTTTTTCTTCATCCCTATGAGTCAGATGACCATCTTCAACAAGTATTAGTCCAATGTTTTCTTTAGACCTCCTCTTGCTTCCAGAGACCACACAATTTCTTCTTCCTCTTGAGGTCCACGAGGAGTTCCCTCTTGAGCCAAGTTGGTCTTCTGCCCTGCTTTCTTGACAATGTGGAGGCCTAATTCTTATTTCCCAATTTATTTTCAAGTCCTGTGCCCTACTGAGCTACTGTCATTGTTCTTCAGGCTTTACATGATAGGGCCAGTAGAAGAAATTTAAAAATTGTTTAACATCTGTATGAAAGTAACCATTTATCATTCTCTACTGGCAAAAAGACTTTTTAGACAATGTCAGAAGAATTTAAAAAGAACAGCTCTTGGATAAAAACAGCTCAGACTACAGCAGAACATAAGAAAATGCTTTAAGAAATTGATTTATTTCCTTTAAATTACATTTCATTGAAATGATCAAAAATATTGGGTTCTGTTCAAATTCATGCAGAACTTGCCAAATTTGTACCTGAAAATATTTTTTTTTAAAGCATCAGCTTTCAAGTGAGCCAGAACACTTGGTGTTTTGCTCAGAGGAAGTCTACCATGAGGCTACTCTATCTGGCCAAAGCTTTTTTTACTCACTGATTTTGAAGCCAATTATAAGGAAAATGCATGTGTTCACAAACACAGAGAACAATTACCCAATTTATCTTTGAAAAGCCCAGATCATATGTCCATTTCCATGCATTCAATGTATGCAAGATGACATCATTCCGATAAATCTTCACTCCTCAAAACTGACAACTCAACAGTAGACACAGCCACAGCTTTCTTCCAACATCATCTGCTTTAAAAGTAATACAAAAAACTCTTCAACAGCAAAGCAGCTATATGAGATCTTGGAATACAGTAACTGTCCCGCTACCCCATAAGCATTATTTGAGTATTGCCCCTAGTATTTGACTTCTATTGTCACATCTGTATATTCAAGAGCCATATCAGACAATTTCATGGAACAAAAACTAGACATCCCTGTGAAACTATACATTTGACTTAAATATACTCCACAAACTTCTACTTAAATACCTAGTAGAGAGTCCATGGCAAGTTAGCTCAGAAGGCAAGACTCTTAAACCATGGGCATGGAAAAAGACGCAGTACGTACCAAATCCAGAAAAGCCAAAGACATCTAGTCAAGCTCTGAATGATATGCAGAACTCACTGAAGTTTGTGGTTATTGTATCATTAACTTTAATTGACCTTTATTAAAAAAAGACACCTCCCCTCTCCCATATTGAAATATGGGAGCATATTTTGGCAAGCATATTTTTCTCCTTTACCACCCACCTGATCCAAGGCTTCGTCAAGCTAACAGTGACACTGCTATCTAGTTTCTTTTCATTCAAAGCAGCAAAGCTGCCTTCTACCATAAGCACTCTGAGTTTCACTGAAATCACACTCTCTTCTCAACACACTCACATGCTATTTACCTGGACCTGAATTAAAAATGCTTGACACTAGCTGCTGCTGTTTAGAATAAAGCCACACCTGCTGTTAGAGTGGAATGCATTTAATCATCACTGGCAGGTCTGCATAAAGAACAATCTTGTGTTGATGTCTGAAAAAAAACACAGGCTGGCCATATTTCATGAATATTTCAGAACATTCATCTTCAAAATACCCTTTTAACCGCAGAAAGATCTTAGAGACCTCTCAACTCATTTAGAACCATAAAACGATTTGGGTTGGAAGGGACCTTTAAAGATCACCTAGTACAACCAACCTGCCAGGAGCAGGGCATCTTTCAGGAGATCAGGTTGCTCAAAGCCCTGTCCAACCTGACCTTGAACACTTCCAATGATGGAGCATCCACAACTTCCCTGGGCATCCTGTTCCAGTGTCTTAGGATTTTAACCAGGATTATCCTATTCCAAACATAGTTCAGGGTTTGGGGTTTTTTTTTCTGCAAAAGATGGGTCAAGCTACATTTGACAACCAATAGGACAAAATAGGCATGTATTATTTGTCCTTATTACTTAAGGCATCAAAAACACACACCTGAAGCAACAAGATGATTCAAGCAGAAGCCATACCATGCTCTCTGAATAGCCACAAACTATACCAAGTTCATCAAGACATCGAGGAATAGGAGCAGTAAGAATGTAACTATCAAAATGTGTCCATTGGAAACACTGTTAAACTGGATCTTACAGTCAAACATGAAACACCTTATCCTCAAGGTTTCAGACCACAAGGAGAAAATGACACTAAAGAATCAAGGAGATGAAAAGCAACAAAATACATGTTCCTCATCTAAAAAGAGTATACTAAACAAAGAACAGAAATGCATACATAAAAAAAAAAAAATGTGTTGTCAATTCAGAGGTACAAAGAAAACATGGAAATGCTTAGGGCTGAAATCACACAGTTGAAGGAAGAGACCAGAAGTTGTTGGGGGGGGGAAGGTTGACAGTGTTGGGCTACTAAACTTGCTGATTCCAATAGTGAAACAGGATACAAAGAAGAAGTTCGTATTGAAATAGTGGAATGTGAGAGTCAGTGAAGGAGCAGGAAGACAATCCAAGAACCTGCAGTTTTAAATGGACCCAAAGATGGAAAGATTACTGCAATTATGGCTATGAAAAAAAAGGATGCGGCAGCAGTTAAGATTAAATCTCCTGAATAACATCTTCAACTGCAGAAGTACTGTTTTTATTGGACTGAGAATGATAATTGTTCAGCATCTGTAAGAACAGAAATTAAAGGCTAAAAAAGGCCTACTTTAAGACACAGACAGCAAGCAGTAAACTGAACACTACTTCTTTTGGAAATGTGAATGGAAAGCTATAACCATTAAAAACAATTCATCCAACAGATATAGTGCACCTGCCTAGCAGCCTTGGTGAAAAAAAATAATAGGCATGAACAGGTCACTGATAATAAATACTGCAATGAGAACAGGCCAAAGGTTCTACAAACCTAAAATCTGTCCTCAGTAATAAAAATACATGCAAATTTAAAAGCTGCCCACTGCACATTAGCCCTCAAGTTTAGTAATAAATCACTTTCAAACTTAGTAATATAAAACTAATCAAATTCATCACTTCTACAGAAACCCTGTAGAACGACAAATAGAATAAAAGTATTGCAGAATAAAGGGAGTACCAGCTGTTATACCAAATTTCTCCAAGTGATGGAGACACTCTGAAATGATAGAAAGTAAAAAATACCCATTAAAATAGCTAGCTAGCACCACATAACCTTCAGACACAAGAAATAAGCCTGAAAAATCATAAAAGTCATTGTAGCAATGACTACAAGATATATTTGTAGAGTCCAGTGCTCTGTTTCCACCTGTAGCAGACCTTCTATTTCGGCAAAATTGTCAGCACATCAGTTTCCATTAACATGGAGCCCAACTTCTCCCTGCCAAAATTCACTATTCTGAACAGATGTAGTTTCCCTGCACAGGTAGCAGCACAAGGTACTTTCAACATATTGAAGTTCTTCACAATAAATACTACAGTAAACCAAGGAACAAAACAGGTCAGATTCTCAAGTCATCAAAAAAAAAATCAAGTTATTGCTTGAAAGATACAAGCCAAAAAAAAAACCCAAACCCAAAACCCCAAAACCAAACACCACCACCCCGCCCCCCCCAACACAAACAACCAAAACCCAAGCATGTGCACATGCACTGTAGGTTAATACATTTGAAGTTCATAATCTTTTTGAGGGCTTTTATGATTTTTCCTTTAAACAACGCAGAGATTATATGTTTTACATATAAGTATTAGTTTTGTATGCCAAATAATTTGAGGAACTTGTCACTAAAAAGGTCATATTAATAGTCAAAATATACATGTTTCAAAGTGTAAGAAGTGTTTACCTTAAGTTTGAATTCAAGCTGTGGTAGAACAGAAAGCAAGAGGTGACTGTCAATATTGTATAACTCCAGAATCAAGTCAAACACGTGCTCTGACAGGTCACTAATTGATGTTTTACCAAGCATGAGGACCTGATTGAAGAACTGGAAAATAAAACAGAGTATGCAGCAATAAGAAGAGTACATACACGTGCTTCTAAATACTATGCTTGTCTACCACTAAATCTAGCTTTTAATCTTACATCATTTATTCCACCACAATTTAAAAAAAGAAAAAAAGAAAAAAAGAGGGACACACACACAATCAGGATTCTGTAGTAGAAATCTTAAAATATCATGGTTTTGTATTCAATATTACACATAAAGGAAGACACATAAAAAGTGATGTTTAGTTTACCACAGCAAGCCTACAAATAATTTAAGACAGACAACTTTAGAGAAGTTCCAGTGCATCAGATCTTTTTATAATGTGACTATATTTAGAGTTACTTCACTATTGAGAACAATCACTTTAAAAGCATTCTAACATTTAGTCAAAACAAGGCTGAAAAAACTGGCTAATTACTACACTATGCAGTTGACAGGTTAAGGAGTTTTAAGTAAAAGCATAGGAATTAATAACTGACTGTTCCAGAATTCATATTTACAAGCAGCATAATGCAGCCATAAGGCTATTATTCTTTCTTGGTAAACTTGACAGGTTTGAGGGACACTTCATACTTCTCATTAAAGAAAATATTTTCTAATATCAAATATTAGTCCCACACTAATTTCAACTACATCCTCTCATAACAGATGGGTAAGAAGTAACCAAATAGGAGTATACTACCCCATACTTGTAAGAGGGTGGCGGAGACATGATATAATTTGGAAAATTTTTCTTCTCTTCAGGTTAAAACAACACACAACTGTGGCTAAACAAATCATACTATTTCTACCTGCCACCAAGGCAACAGAATACACTTAACTGGTACTTCAGTTTCCTATTCCCAAACTTGGGTCAGATGAACATCATGACCCTCTATACCTCTGATGAGGTTACTCATATCAGGAAAGAAATTAAAACCATGAAAACTACCACTTTTTAAGGTTATAAAGTGAACCCCAACAAGTGATGCAATACAAAAATTCAGCAGTTTCTAGTAATAATGACTAGAAAATAACACATAAGCACCTTTCATTAGAAGTTAAAGACTCCATACTGTCTTGCAGAAAAGTTTTCCTTGGAGTTTTTATATTCCTGGTTAGGCAACTAACTCCTACTGTGTCTTTAACATATTTTAAGAAAGAAAGTAACTTTCAAAACAAAGAAACCAGACAGCACAATAGTTCCCACTTGTAAGAAACCAAGAACAGAAGACTGCATGTACATAATTTCCATAAGAGGAAGATTCTTATTGTACAGACTTCCTTAAAACCAATGAAATATCACCCAGTTTGTAATCTAACTTCACAAATGAACAACATTAAAAACACATTCCCATGTAGCAATACTTTCCCAAACAGCAGGTTTGACTAACGGGTTTGGAGTAAGAGTTTTCATTGAAGATTTTTTTAAATCTTAGAAGGTACCCACTTTCCAAGTACCACAAGTGTTATAAGTCTGAAAGCAACAAAAAAACATTGAAAAATTTCTATTGTTTTCAAGCTCTTGAGGTTTTGGAATTCTGCCATGAGACCTGCTAAATCCTTAACTACTTTAAAAAAAAAAGGTGTGATTTTCTTTTCCTATTGTGCAACTTAATTTAGAGCATACTCCTGTCTGATCTTTGCTTCCTCTCATCCCTCTTCTCTTGCAGTGTCTATGATGTCTACACTCAACTTGGCTACAACCCTCAATCCACTCGCTGGTTTTCTTCCTTACTGTCTGTTCTTAGATTCTGTTTCCTCCTCTTTTCCTGTGACAAGGGCATTAAAATTCTACTCTATCTTCACTTCTAGCTTCTAAATAGCCTCATCTCCTCATTAGAAAAAGAATTTTGCCACCGGAACAATGTATTTATATATTTTTATCAGAACAATACATATAAGTACATTTGGTCTTCCAGTCATATTAGGCATTGAAGTTTAAGTTCTCCCAAGACAGCAGAAAGTAAACTATCCATTGTATTTCAGAAGTCAAAATTGTTACGGGCTTAGTAGTTTCTATATGGCAAAGAATTAGACTCAAAGGGACAGGTTACGCAGTGCTTCATTAATATAACAATTCTCTCAAAGAACAATTCAGAGTTTGTAAAAAGTTATTTTACAGCCCCATTTGACTATATTCAATTAATTCTTTTTATGGAAATCAATACATTTTTTAACTAAGCTGTATTATATTTGTTTGCAGTCTTCACTTACATTAGTAATGTACGGTTCAATTGCTTGCGCTGTCCTCTTTAGCAAAGCCTTTGCCAAATCATAGGCTTGCTTGTTTAAATTCTGGGGGGGGGAAAAAAATAGAAAAAATTTTAAGCACATGCATTAATCTTAAAAATAAATACGATAATTTAAAGCTACCACATACTAGTAAATGCATTAAAGAATGCATTAAAGAACTAGCCTGTTCTTTTTATACTTTCAGTAGTAAAGATAACATAGTAAAAAACAAACCTAGTCCAAACAGAGCTTTGTAGTCACCACTGATATTAATGAGAAAACTTGGCAAATCAGTGCTTTTCAGTTGCCCATCTAAGCCTGACATTCAGTGAGGTCAGTTCCTGCATTTTACTGCTGCTCCTTATCAGCTTCCACAAAAAACAGGAAAGCAATATAAAGCAACATCGGGGCATTTATTGTCACCACAGAAGCAAGACTCTGAACACGATTGTGGTAGAAAGTACAAATCTATCCTTAAACCAAACAGCCACCTGTGAACCACCATCACAGTCTCTCCATAGTAACTCCCAAAGATACTCAGTCTGAGATAGCAAAGAAAAAAACCCAACCAAACAAACCCCCCCAAACCTAAAATTTTAGTGTGTGAGTGAAAAAGGGTGACAAATACAAACTAATGAAACGCTAATACAAAAAACAATTAGAAAAACACCATTCCACAACATTCTTATCCCTTCATTTGCCTAGTTGGGTTATTGCTCTACCATTGTTTCCTTCCTATCCCAGCATGCATTCTCCACCCTCTAGCTCCTATGTCCTTCCTCCAGTTTCTGTATTACAATTATCTTTCAAAAATTTTCAGAAGAAAACGTTAACTCAGCCCTTGTGACACCCACTGCAGACTTGAATACAACATAGAAGAATGAAGGAAAAGTCTTTAATACCAAAAAATATATAGTCTTTTAACAGGTAGTCTCTGCAAAAATATAGTTCCCCTAACTTTTATTAGTCTTTGACATTTAAAAACATCAAGCATATTCCATTTACAAGACAACAATATAAAGGGGCAGTTTGTGTTTTTTTTTTTTTTAAATACATCTCATCCATAAAAGGCAAAAAAACTTCCTTTTAGCATAATGAAAAGCAAACACAAGATGCATTGCCACACCCAGTGTATTGTTTTTGCCTGCATATGCTTGGTTCTTTGTAGCTATCAATGAAAAAGAGAAGATTTGCAAAGAGATGGAGAGTATTGTCTGTAATTTCAAAAACTGTAAAACTACAGGATTCTAGACAGCAGTGGGAATAGATCACCATTTTCTGTTATAAAACAAAAGAAGTCTTTGACTTGCCTACTGATAGAATTCAGTTAGGTGACTGAAGTCAAAAGACTATGAAGATTTGTGCCTGAAGTATGTGTTTTACTCAGAGCCACTAAAGAAGGTAAATAAAAACCTCAATTCTGGAAAGATACTTGAATGCTTACTAAGATGCTAATATCCTTGTAATTTCCTCTTCCCTTATCTAATCAAGATACAAGGGTCAACATTGGCAGTCTTCTTACAAAATTGTACAGGTGTTCCATGTCCCAGAAGAGGGAAGGTTCTGCATGCTAGATTGGTCTTTATGGTTAATATCCCCCCCCAAAAAAAACTCCCCCCCCCAACCCAGCAACCACTATTTCCACCTGCAGCATTTGTTTTCTGTTATTTAGCCAGAGTTGTGACTCTTGAGGAAGTAAAAGGTACAAATAACCATGCCAAGGACTGTATGCCACTTGCAATTCTTGCTCAGATCTTTCTCAACTTCCATAGTTCACCTCCACCAAAACAAAGAAAACAGCTTTCACCTGGGTAAGAGTGAATTCTAGATCATGAGTAAGATCTGATTTATGTATAAAAAAAATCCAAAGAGCATAGCAGAATTCCAACAGGCAGATCTGTTTTGATTCACATTAATTAGTTTCAGCTTGTATCTTTCACACAGCAGTTCCTTTTAAAAAAGCAGCCGCAATTCATCTACATAACTAGTAATAACTAAAGTTTAAAAAAATCAATATAAATTCTCGCACATAGCCTTAGGAAAGGAAGTCTGAAAGAACAAAAGATCTTTCATAATTAAACCACTGAAAGCTGGGCAAAAGATCTCCCAACACCTTAATGTTTGCTGAGATAAATGCTAGAAGTAGCTATTTGCAACCCTGAGTAACATATCCACATTACACTTCATTCTATCTAAAAAAGCTGCAAAGAGAAAAAAATAGTCAAGATCACAATTGGCTAAGGTAAGTTAGCTATTTTTTTCATGCTTCACACTTGACTTAATTGTGCCAATAGCCAAGGTCCTCAAATGTCCAAAGGCTGAACTTTCTGAAAATAACAATGCCAAAGAAGTCTTAAAAGCACACGAGCAAGTTTTTTTTCCTCCCTTTTCCAGCTTCAGGATAGAAGCAGAAACAAGAAGAAAGCACCACTGCCTTAGTTGAAATGAAAACAGGAACAACCCAGGCCATTACCAAATAGGTTCAAAGATCTTTTACAAAAGATCAAACCTAGCTTTCTGACTAATTTAATAGCCACAAAGATATTTTAAACTTTGCCTGAAGGAGAAATTTTGTAAGGATGAGACCTAATTTAACAAATTTCTTCTGTTTTTATTTAAACTCTTCTATCATTATCCTCTCTTCAATCTTTCTATACATTCAGGAAAAAAATTGACATGTATTTCAAGATCTGTTAATGATTTAAGAAAGCCCTCACTGATGGGGATGATCATCTTAATCAGGATGCCTCTAAGAGCATGAAAGCACCCAGTGGGGACAAGCTTTCAAGAGTCCTGAATTGGGTAGAAACTAAGCCATCAGCTGGCAACACTTTAAAGTAATCATTAGTAATTACTACATTTTGAAGGAAAAAGCAGAAATAAGTATTGATTGAGAAGGACAAACCAAAGAACCACCCATAAAAAGGCAGAACGCAGATCTTCGGCTAGATAATTGAGAAGTTACATTTAACATCTAAAATAGACTTATATGATGCTGCAGACAGACCTTTTCCCAAAAAAAACCTCCAGTTTGCTTTCAGAAAAGAATGTTAATAAACAGAGGAGAACATTTTTTTTATGCTTAGAATGCCTTCAGCAATAATATTTGAAGACAGACCATCTTCGTCAACCATATGTGCTCTCCTCTGTCTCAATTCCTACCATGAGTTTTCTGTATACATTGCTAACATTTCAAGATTTTACGCTTCTGGAAGACATTAAAAGTTTTGCCAACTCATTTTTCATATCTGTTCTTCTCTAGAAGATTTCACAAACTTCTACTGCAGGCACAAGAAGTGGTGGCAACCTCTGTGACAGCATGGCACAGACAGTTTTGTGTATATATAGACAATGATCTCCAGGACAGTTTGCCACAGAGCCAAAAATCAGTTGTACTGGTATAATGGGGTTAGCAGTGATGGAAGTGCATACCCACTGATTTTTTCAGCTACTTTTCCAGTTGCCTCTCAATGTCTGATTTAACACAGCTCAAAGAAATTAAGAGTGAAAGAATTTGTACTCATCCTTTAAAAGAAAAGGGTGAAAAAAAAAACCCAAACAGAAAACAAATGCATATCCCTTATTTTTTCTTCAAAAAGGATGACTAGCTCGCATCAAACCAGTCCTTAATTTTATAACTTTAGCAGTAAAATCAAATGTTAAGTCTGTATCTAGAGCAAATATTCTTAAAAAAATCCATACATTGTAACCTGTTGTTTTCTTGGAATTTGAAAAGGGTCTTCAATTTTATTCTTATCATCGATGGCATAGCAGCAGAATTTGTATCCAAGTGCACTTGACAACAGTTTTAACAGACTCTCTAGTTCTGCTGGGGGAGGGAAATAGGTTTTTAAGGATGGCTGACAAAGAAAAAGCTCAGCTGAAGTGTTGCCAAGATAGATAACATGAATTATTAAGCAAGCTCCTAGCAGAGACAGTCAGAAACTTAATTGTCAATATCACTTTTTTTAAAAAGATAAGCATGTAAAGCATGTGGGATGTGCAATGTGGGATTCCCTGTAGTACTCCTGAGGCTGAAAATGGGAAACACTCACAGAAATAAAGTACAATTTGCCTTCTAACACACCGCACAAACACAAAATTGTTTACAGGTGCTGCCATAAAGGCTTTATATTCTAAAAACACAATTAAAAGGGAAAGGAAAAGTATTAACTTTTCATGCCTTTTCATATTGACTACCTCTCCCTTGCTTCTGATCTTTTCTGGGTTTAGTTCACTATTTCCTTCATTCCCTCTTAACATAACCCTATGAAAAGAATTTCAGTAGAGTTCATAGAAAAGAAGAAAGGAGAAACCACAAAAGGAAAAAAAATAATTAAACATCAAAGAAAGTAAGAGTTGAGCACGTGGTCAGACAAGTTAGTTTACTGTTTTATTGAATTATCTGATACTTGCTATACTACTCAAGCAAGCCTGTGCATACTCTAATGTACCTGTTTCATGGTATTAGTGTCAGCCACTTTCATTCAGGTTTACATCAGTATTGATGATGATATGGCTTTTATTCTGGCCAAGTGAGATGGATGACAAACTCAAGTGAGCTAGAGCAGCTTAGACGACTTCAGTGACTACTAATTATGGTAGACAGACATTTGATAATACGCCATGTCCCCAGTATATGCTCCTTATGCCTGAGTTTTTGCAGTTGTCCTCCTAGCACCATTGCTTATTAGACTTACTACTCAGGACTACAGACCGTATCTGGCATTTCTCTTAAGAATAATATTGACCTTGATTTTAAGGGGTAACAGCACTGAATTCACCCTTGGCAAACTGTTCAACTAGTTACTACAACTCTTAAAAACATTCATGTAGTTTTCGCATGGGTCTGCCTAATGTTGAATTTCAGCCATTGGACCCAAATCCTAAGGTCCATAGCATCTGGGATCCAAAACTAAAGGAGCTGTTTGAACCTTCTGTTCCCAATACACACTTACATACGGCTCCTTTGATAAATTATACAGATTAAGCTCCTGAAGTCTTCAACCTAGTGTTACCCAATACAACTGTCTATACAGCAAAAGTCATACTGCCTCTATCACTATCTTCCAGAATACACTCATTCAATTTGTAAGGGCACTCCACATTCCCTCATGTGTACAACATTCCTTGTGGTTGTATTAAAAATACACCACTTGCCTGTATCCCTTGCTACAAACATAGCTATCGTATCTACAACAATCTCTCTATCTGATAATTTTCAAATCTGAGCTAGTAACAAATCTATGCTCCTCCTACTCCATCAAAAATATTCTTTTGGTCCCCAGGGAATCTGGCCAGATAAGGATTCCCTACTCACCATTATATGAGCACTTGCCATTATGACATTTTTTGGCGGCCAGTTTCCCTTTCCCACAACCTGTACAGCTTAACAGCTAGGTGGGCAAAGACATAGTTGTTCCTTATGGTGGACCTTAACCTTAACCCCCTTGTAGTTTTGTGCTCAACAGACATAAATGGAAAAATTCTCACTCTGAATTCATTACACTTTTCCAATATGACATTAGTAGCCACTGAAAGTGGTTAGATAACTACGTAAGCTCAAAAATTTTAAATAAACACTATGTTAAGGTATTAGATAAAACAGAAAAATATTAGAAGCTTCCTTCCACTGGTATGAAAAAGGTTAAAAAAATTAAAAGTAAAAGGACTCAGAATATGGTCTACAGTTATGAAACTATTTCAGTTAGAAAGCAAGCTATAAACTAGCATCCTATCCAAAGAGCCAGTTTGATTAACAGCAGAAGAGAATACAAAACCCCAAATACCTTATCCTATTAAAATGTTCAGTCAATAACTTTCAAATTCACAATAAAACAGAACTGTTTCAATGCTATAGCCAATCTCACAGGATGCAAATTCAACTCAAAATCAGTTTATTAAACATGAATCATAAAAACAGTACAGTCAAATCAAGTTGAACACAGGTGACACAGTGAAACAACAGATGCTTAACAACTGAGAAAATACAAATGAAAGTATTTTGCATAGTCTTGCTTTTTCTTTCTTATTCCAAGGCTTTACACTTCATCAATCTGAGTTTTAGCCACACAAATTTCAGTCTGGTCCTAGCACAAAAGTACTAGACTCCTCGAAGGACACAGCTAAAACATTTCCAGTGGAAAAAAAAAAAAAAAGACTGATCTACACTAAGCATTTAGTCTTCCACTGTCAATAGAAAAATAGTTTATGTGCTGTTTATTTACTGAAATTGATGGCTTGCAGTAAGGCACACTATGTTGCACTACTTGTTACATTATTCAGAGAGAAAGATTTTCACCTTATGAAAACTACTTGGTTTCTTCAGGTACGTCACCTTTTGGTGGGGGTGGGGGGAGTCAGGTTTTTTGGGTGGGGATTTTTTTTTTGGGTGGGGTTTGTTTTGGTTTTTTTGAAACAAAGGTCATTCCAAGCTGAAAGAAAGTCTCTCAATTAACTAATACCCATGTAACTTTAGTTTCTAAAACGTGTAAGTAAAGTTAGCCTTTTCCTGAACACACTTAAAAGCTGTCAGGTGACAGCCAGAACTGTCCAAAATCCAGTTGAGTACACATTTCCTGGATAATTTCCTAGATTTTTTTTGGTCATACACAACTTAAGTAATGTTCTACACTGTAGCCCAAGAGATTCCAGCAGGACCCAGCTAGTTTTCTGAACAAGGAAGTCAGACTTCCTTGCTTTTTAAACACAACACATGCAAAGTTTGAAGTTTTTCCTCAGTTCACCTGCAGGACCCCCCCTTTTCTTTTTTTTTTTTTCCCCCCAAAACATTATTCATTAAGGAAAGGCAGCCATCACTTGGGCTCTTCAGGCACCATTATTCTGAACAGTTAGTTCTATGGCTGCATCAAAAACATATCAATGTGCTTTCAATAACACCAAGTCAACATCTCTGAAATACAACAGTAACAACTACAAATCGGCAGTCATAACAACTTTCTCTCTCCCACTTAGGGCAGCAGATTAGTTTGAACTGTTGATACAGTGTTACACTAATTAAAAGCTTTCCAAAGGATATATGTATCTTTTATATTAAGTTCTACTGGTATTGACCATATATAAAAAAAACTCATGAATGAAATGCTACTCAATTTTCTGGCTATTAAAAATTATTTGTTAAAAAATCCAAGTAATAGGAACACATTTGCTACAGCTATTCTCTCAATGAAATCTAAATACCTGAATACATACATGCATGCAACAAATCACAACTACAAAAAAAAAATTAAGCCACTATTAAGTCTTACCTTATGTGCTGGCACTAGATTAACTAACACTGTATCCAAAAGTTCCTGCGACACAGTATCTCCCTCACAAATGATAGAGCTCATTAGATCAACCATGTGCATGTGTACTTTTTGGTTATGACCATTGCTGAAATCAAAAACAAGAATTCTTAGTATACTATTCATATAAAGTACAACTTCCATTCAGAGTACTCCCTATGGTAATGCCAAACAACAAGGAATATAATAATCAAATCACAAGTTTTCTTAGAAGTCTAAATACTTAAGTTTCTCGGCTGCATATACCACTTTTCAAAATGTTCTTGAAACTCATGCCCTCTTCATTTACTACTGTAGTAAAAGAATAAGAGGACTGTATCTGTCCCTGCCACAAAAAGATAGTGTATTAGAACATCCCTCCCCCCTACCCAATACTGGTGAGGCTTCATCCAGAGTGCTGTGTCCAGTTCTGGGCTTCCCAGCACAAGAGAGATATGGACATCCTGGAGTCGGTCCAGCAAAGGGCCACAAAGATGATTAAGGGACTGGAGCAGCTCTCATACAAGATGAGGCTTAGAGAGCTGACCTTTTTTTTAGCCTCAAAAAGAGATGGCTTAGGGAGGAACTTATCATTATATTTAAATACCTGACATTGGGAGTAAAGAAGACAGAGCCAGATTCTTCTCAGTGGTGTCCAGTGACAGGACAAGAGGCAATGGGCATAAGGCGATATACAGGACATACCATTTAAACATAAGAAAGAGAAACTTTCAAATGTAAGGGTGATTGAGCAATAGAACAGGTTGCCCAAAGAGGCCATGGAGTCTCCATCCTTAGAGATGCTCAAAACCCAACTGGCTACAGTCCTGGGCAATCCGCTCTAGGTGACCCTGCTTTAAGCAAGGGGGGCAGACTAGCAGTGCTTTCCAGTGTCCACTGTTTTCTGACTCATGTTTTTATAGCAATAATCCTCCAAATTCCTTAGAATTGCATATTGCACCATTCACTTTCCATTTCAAGAACAGAATAAAATAAATGCAGTAAAAGACAAAGTAAATTTCTTGGAAAAAAGATGATTTGCAGTGTGTTTTGTTTAATTACAACAGACAAAACTGGCAGCTTATTATAGTTATACTGCTACCTTTAGTTAAACTGAATTACAAAACTAAGCTCATTAACGCTGAAAGTCACACAATAGACTGAACACCTAGGTTAGAAATATCGGACATCAACCATGCAATAATATATTATAACTGGGGGTGACAATACTTACTTTATTACTGAAAACAGCGTTCTGTACAATTGTGTAAAAATCTCATTGCTGTCTTCTAATTCAAAGCATATGTTATAGGACTTGACCCAAGCAATGTTCTGTGTTGGACAGGAAAAAATAAAAGCACTTGTTAATACAAGATTAAGTTGAAAAATTACATTTAACAGTTATTATGAAATAAGTTATGAAGCTTACCTCAAGCAAATAAAAGTATCGATTAAACTGGGGGCTTTTTGTGTCTTCTAAACCCTTGAGTTGCCTTGTTATGAACATAAATATATCCTGAAAAGAAAGAAGTGATAGTTGTTTAATCAATTGCAATGAAACTTTCAAAATTAAAATAATTACCTTTTTAAATTACTAATATTATTTATCACTACAAAATACACAGCAATGACAGACACACTATTTCACTATCCAAAAGATCTACAAAATATCACAGAGAATATTAAGGAGTAATTTTAAAATACTTCATGTTTCTCTAAAGGGTTGAGAAAGTAACCTTTTTCTGAGGAAGCAAAAAGTTTTTCTTTTCCAAAGAAAACCACTCAACCTGACAAAGAGCTACAACTGGCTGATATGCTACAAGAGTCAAAATATCATTCAGAAAGACAATGAGTTTTACGTTTTTACTTTATAGTGCAATAGGTTTCAAGAGGTGAAGAGAAACAAAGCAACAGGGAACTGCAGCTTTCCTAAGAGTATTACAATGGGTTCACACTGTAGCGTTTGTATATTCTCAGTCATCACGCTACTGACACAGATCACATCTCTTGTAAAAACCAATAAACCAAGTTTCTCCTGCTTCCTTTATCAACTTCCAGCACCAGAAGACTTCTTCAGAAAAGTCTCACACAGAATAAATTCAAGCAGGTTATAAGGAACAGTCAATTATGAACAGAATGGAAACACACAGGAAGGTGTCTTTTAAATGCTCTTTACATTCAGATAATTAACAGCTGGAAATTCATAACTGCTATATTAAATCAAAAGAATCAGAAGTACATATCAGTACAGACAGTGTTCACAACTTCAACTGTATCTGTAATATGTTATCTAACAATCTAGGTATAAATTGAATAAATTAAAAAAAAGCTATAAAGTTCCCATAATAAATACAAGGAAGCCTTACAGGTAACCCTGAAAAAACTATCCTAGAAACAGTCTAGAAGGCTTTTCTATAACATTTTTAAAGGACCATTTCCCCTCACCCCCCAAGAATGATGAGATGGACAAAAGATGAGAACGGGGTTCCTTCTTCCTAAGGCTACAACCACAAAATCCAGCCTTAATCACTAAGCTGAGCACTTACTGTGGTTCTAGGTAAAAACAAAAATTAGATCACACGTGATATCATCATCTCTTGGCAAAAAAGCACAGCAAGAACATTGTTCAGAGATACAGTTACATTAATGTTTGAATTTGGATTACGATTGTGCCTTTGAAGTTTTAAGTAAGGATGATCAGAAGAATCACTGTTTGGTTCACACTTCGTATCAGTTACAGAGCACATGAACTAGACTCTTTAGTTGAAATTAAACCAGAAGACACATTCAAAGGACACACCTAATGGTCTCCAACCACTAAAGAGCATTCAGTCCACAGACAAAAGCCAGTCTGAAGAATCACCCCCCTAAAAACTAGTGCCTGAACAACTAGCAGGCCAGCAGTCCACCCAAAATGAGTTCATCATCTGAGAAACTGGTACACCAAAAGGTGCTGTGAAGTTTAGAAGACATACAAACTGAGTCTCAGTGAAAGATAAGATTCAATTAAAGAAGACAGTGAGCAACTGAGTGACCAACGACAAATATAAAGACTATTTCAGCTTAGAACTTATGCCCTATGTATAATTATTCTGTTGAACTTGTACAGATGAACCTCCATCAGTGTAAAAATGGATTGTGTTCATTTAACAAAGTATTTCTTATTCTACAGCTCAGTATGAACAATTATTTACTGAACATGATTCCAAGACCCTATTGAGACCAAAACTAGTTTTCCAAATTTTTATGAAGCACACATCACTGTGTTGTACATGAATACATGTATTAATGAATAGCATACATATACAATACATCTAGCACCTGAATGCTTCACAAATAATAATGGCATCATTTGGAAGAGTAATAAATTTATTTTTTCCTATTCCTGTTTTAAAGGAAGCAAGACAGACTAAACTCAAAAGCACTCACTAATTTTTAATATCTAGTGTAAAACAACCCAAACATTTTCTCTTGGGTGAGCATACAGAATATACCATTTGAATATGCATTTATAAATGCAAAACACCAGACAAAATAAACTTTGGCTGCAGCTAAGAAATCGCAACATTTTCACAAACTGGACAATACGGTTTCACATCAGACTCCATAAAGCAAGTCTACATTAGAACCCAGACTCTAAAACCAAAAGTGCTTATACTTCAACTTTAGGAATTATATTGAATGTTTTTTTGTTTCTTGACATCAATTAACCACACAACAGCTTCATTAAGCATCAGAGCCATGGCTTTCACCACAGAACATATTCAGATAGTTGAAGTTCTGCTACCACATACACCCTTAAACATCTCCATTTCGGCCAAGTCAGGCAGACAGCCCATTTGTCCAAGTGGTTTTCTTTGACACATACCAGCGATTAGAACATCTTCCCCCCAGAAAATTAGATTTGGGCTCTAGGCTTTCCCTAGAGGACTTAAGTTAGAAGTTTCCAGATCCCAGAAGAGCAATCCTGCTCCAGTTCTGCTTTTAGCCTGTTCATGGCATTTTCCATCCCTGTTATCAAAGCTCTTTTAATACTCAGCGAGGAATGCAAGACTTACACTGAGGATACACGTAAGAGAGGGAAACCTCAAATTCTGATCCCTTCTCTCAGTATCTCACTTGCACGATGCGCAAGTTAAAGAGATCCAAAGACTCTAAAATCAAGGGCAAAAACTTAAGAATTAAGTTTTCCCCTCTCAAGAAATTACCCTTTTCAGCACCTCCCTTTGCCATCTCCAACTCTGGTGCTAAACATACTAGAAGAGACTCAAAGCTGCAGGATGGATATGATATTAAATACTGGGTAAAAATAGTGCCAAGATATAACCCAAGAGGAAGCATTCTTCCTCTTACCTGTTTGTCATAAAGTGGAGGGAACTGTTCAACATTTGTATCAGAGCTTGTCCTGCAACCACAAAAGCTGTGTTCAGTGGAAATAGGTTTGCAAAAACCTGCCTCAACAGCCCTAGGCAAAGGTCTCTACTGCTCGTCCTTTATTTCTCAAAATGTGTTTAGAAATCTGCATCAAGAAAGTGAATTCTGAAATCTGCACAGATTACAGAACTGAATGCTGACAGCGGAAGATCCTAGTCTGTTCAGAGCTCTAGCCAAGTATTACTAGTATGCTTACGCTGCAAATATGAGTTCAGTAATGTAAACCTTCCAATATTTTATATATACACACACTATAAAATTTGAAACTTAGCAGCATTTGATAGATCAAATTCTGTAAGAAGAAATATTATCATTTGTTAGCCCAGCTCAGGAAAAAAAAGAGAGCAAGCAAAGGAAAATATATACTCAAAACTAAGGTAGAAATCAGGATGCCTCAAAATAAGACTTAAATGTAGCACAGTAGAGAAAGCTAATGTTTGTCTCCAGTTGAAGATGGTGTAATCAATAAGTAAGCTAACTAGAGAGCGTGTAATCAGAGGTGCAACAATTCAGAATTAAGAAAACACAGCTAAACAGAAATCCCTAGGTATATCTCCAGTATGTCTGGTAACAAAGGATGTACTACAGTTGAAACTACTGTTTGCCCTACTTATGAAGCAATTCTGGTGCAACCACTAAATCAGAAATTGAATAGTTTCTTCCACTGTAATAGATTATGTCTGGCAACAAAGGATGTACTACAGTTGAAACTGTACTGTTTGCCCTACTTATGAAGCAATTCTGGTGCAACCACTAAATCAGAAATTGAATAGTTTCTTCCACTGTAATAGATATACCTTCCACCACAACCATCTTTTTATCCTACTGTAGAAAAAACAAACAAAACCCAAAACAAACCAAAAAAAGCCCACACACGCTCTTAAATTGGGGAGACAAAAAAAGAAAAGTACTCGTTTTTCAGTACTACTTTCTCCTGCAAGATTTTCTATAAGACTCAATTCATCACTCTAGATTCAGACTGTGTAAGGGAAGTAGTTTGATTTTGTGAGTTGGAAAGAAAGTTAGGTTTCCATTTAAAAACAAAGTAAAAAAGAAAAACACAAGACAATCTAAAATTTATTTTTTCTGAAACAAATGGGGGAGATCTGTACTGCCTTTTCAAACCTGGCATTTCTCTATCAACCATCTCCATCTAGTGGGATCAGTGATGTTTGTACTTGCAGAATTTTCCAATTCACATCAGAAATAATTATCCTCTGTACAAAAATACTTTTTCTTTATTTCAATAGAGCCTTTATCTATAAAAATATAGTAATCATCTCTTAGTAGTTTAATTGGAAACAGCAGGGGTATATTCCCAATTAAAGGAATTAGCTATCTTGCAAGAGATTATGATAAAAAGCTATAGACCTATCAATAATTCTAAAGTAACAGAACACTATCTGCAAATCCCAATGACAGTTCAATAAAATATTTATTTTCAATATAAATCCAGAACTCTACAAGTTATTGAAAGATGTACTACATATCACTTTATTTGATGAATATTTGACCTGACCAAACATCCCTATCCCAGAATAAAGCAAAAACCTTGGATTGCTTAGGCTGAACCAGAAATAAAGG